TTGCTATACCTGGCTTCACCAACGATTAAGGGAAGAACGAGGGATATTGAATATGGGGAAAAACACCACCACCACAATTTCCATCAACACACTCGGTTTTCTGGGTTTGCTCTTTAATACACACACACAAAAAAAAAATTGATTTTCTGGGTTTGGTATGCAAAAACAATTGAATTTCTATGTTTGTTTATAGGACTAAAAATCATCATATATCTCTGTTAGCCTACAAGGACGAGGTTCATCGATTTCAGGAGGTATCGAATGATATTGAAGACCCCCTTCAGATTTCACCTTCGTTTTCATTGATTTCACTTAATGAATGCGTGTGTTTTTTTCACTTCTAGAAATCGATTTGTGTATAGTTGTTCATCCTAGGATCGATTTGCATTTGCACTGGCGACCTCAAATTGATCTCCCCCTGAGAAGTGGTTTGAATCGACCTGTGCTTTTCCCCACCACCTCTGACATGCATTGCAACTTTTCCCTTCTGTCTTTTCTATGTTTTGTGGTGGATAAAAAAACCCTAAATCCGTTCTGGTCACTATCTCTCACTGCCGATGTTCGATGCAGTCGTTGTGGCGATTTTTGTGATCAGAAGGAGCAAGTGGATGTTTTGGTGATTTTTGCGATTTTCCGGTGAGGTGGATTAGGTTTTGTGGTTGGTTCTTTTCTGGTAGGAGAGAAGGCATGTTGGTTGTGATTGGTCGGCGACTAGGTGCAGCCGAGGCAGAGTAAGAAGACAATGACCGACGGTAGGTGGCTGATTGTAGAAGACGATGGCAGCAGCCGACGTTTGTCTTGGGGGGGGGGGACGGGTAGCGATGAGAGAAACAAAGAAGGTGAAGAATGAGAGTATTTTGTGGAGAGAGAGAGAGAGAGAGAGAGAGAGAGGGCCTTTAATTATATATATATATATATATATATTCTCTTTTTTTTTTAAATAGAGAAAACATCATAAATGGTCCCTGTGTATTGAAATGATGAAAATGCCCCTCACTTAACAGTAGAAAGCTGACGGAGTTAGGCGGAAGGAGCATTTGTTAAAAGTTTTGAAACCACAGGGACCATTTGTGAGGTTTTTTGAACTTAAGGACTAAACTTGATATTTTCGGAAACTACAGGGACCATTTTTCAAGTTTTGTTTTTAAATTATGTTTGGTCTTTATTACTAATTTATTATTATTATTTTGGATTAAATGGTATTACTCACAAACCAATCTAAAAAATAGTTTTTTTTTTCTTTTTTTTGGACCGCATGATTTGTGGTCCATTCAAATCCAAATCAGAAAGTTAGGAATTTGAATCCTATATTTGTTGCGTGTTAGGCCGGACGGAATGGGGTAATGGAAATGAGCGGGAACCGATCCCACACCTGTGCACACCGCACCATGGGTGCGGGAAAGGAACCACGGGAGGCAAGTGGGGGGAGAGAGTCCCGCTCTCTCTCTCTCTGTCTTCTAACTATTGGCCGATGATTTTTTTTTCTTTTTTACTCAAACGGCTATATAGCCGTTAACATATATATATATATATATATATATATATATATATATATATATATATATATATATATATATATATATATATATATATATATTCTTTTTTCCTTCCCTTTTCTTAATCTATAAATACTCAAACATTTTATCATTTTTTAAACCATAATCTATATTTCTCTCTAAAAAATATTACTCAAAATGTTATCATCTTCATCATCTGATTCGACAACAGTAGAGGAGACTAAGTTTATCGGTTCCGTCATGGCGAAAACAGTTGCATACCATCAAAACCGACTTGGTGAAACATCACGTGCACGACCTAACCTAAGAAAGCCGCCGTTACGTAGAAATCACGAAGCCGGACACGATCGTCTTATAGAAGATTATTTTGCAGATGACGCCGTCTACACTTTAAAGTTTCGACGTCGGTTCCGGATGAGGAAGTAACTATTTTTACGTATTGTTGGCGATTTGGAAGACCGTTTTCCATATTTCCACTTTCCATATTTCCACTGGAAAATTGATGCAAGGGGAATAAAAGGTTTCTCTCCCATTAAAAAATGCACGGCTTCAATTCGTCAGCTAGCATACGGCATGGGCGCAGACAAATGGGATGAGTATTTTAGGATGTCAGAGCGTACCGTGAGGGACTCTGTGTACAAGTTCTGCAAAGCGATCTGTTTGGTTTACGGGCAACGATATTTGCATAAACCAACTATCAACGATATCCACCAATTGTATACGGTTCATGAAGGCAAACATGGATGAGAGGCGACCACAAAGAGCCGACGATCATTCTAGAGCCTATCACATCACATGATCTTTGGATATGGCATGCATTCTTTGGTCCAGCTGGTGTAAACAATGACATCAACGTGCTAGACCAGTCGCCTTCGTTCAACGATATCTACCTTGGAAAGTTACATGATGTACCTTTTCAATCAAATGGGGTAGCATATAAGCGTGGATACTATCTTACTGACGGTATATATCATCCCTTGTTTGTTTTTGTGAAATCGTTTACATGTCCTAACGACCCGAAAAGGAAAAAACTTTAAAGAGGTGCAAAAGTCAGCTAGGAAGGATGTGGAGCGAGCATTTAGTGTACTTAAGAGACGTTGGCAAGTACTAACGGTCGGGGCAAGGTCATATGAGGTGAAAAGGTTACAACACGTAATGTATGCATGTATCATATTGCATAATATGATTCTTGAAGATGAAGGAACAGCAATATGCCGATACAACGAAAAATGAAGTTTTGCCAAATGTCGAAGGAGTAGCCGTTGGTACACAAGAGTATAGGGTGAATAGAAGAGAAGTACACAATCGCGGCCATCATCAGGCCCTTCGTGCTGATTTGGTGGAGCACATTTATAGGGGCTCATATTCATCCCCCACACAAGTTATCTCATGATGATGATTTGTTTGACGAATCAGACGAGGATTCTAATATGTTCGTCGAGAGTGAAGATTCCGACGACGCGAGTGACGCTGGGAGAATGATTCAAATGATCAAGGCGAGGACGAAGACGATGATTCCGAGTGACGTATCTAGGTTTAAATAAAATTAGGATATTAATTAATAATTTTTAATATGTTGTAGTTTGTTTGATTTTTTTTTCTACTTATTTAAATATTAGGGTTAATGTAATTTTTATTTTACTTAATGAAATGCTTTTTATTTTTAATTAAATTGTATGTTTGATATTAATTTAAAAATTATAAATAAAAAAATTAATTTTATTTAAAAAAAAAAAAGTGAGGGAAAAACTTCCCTCCCACTTCTTGACTTTTAGGTGAGGGAAATGAAAGTGAGAGAAAGAAGGGTATGATCCACCAAAAGTGAGAGAACTTTCCCTCCCACTCCTTCCAATCTTACTGTACATTGTAGCTCGTTGTTGGATTTAGCATTTACTTCAATTATTTGTAATATGTATTTAGAATAACCTAAAAACATTAACTTTTTTATGAGTAATTGGAAAAAGCTTTATTATTTTTTTCGTTGGCTGTGACCACTAATTTTACATAGAGTTATTATTCTAGACCACTTAATAAGTTTCATAATTAACTCTATTATTTTTTTTCCAAAATATGTCCTAATATTGCATTTAGAGTCCAAATTTGGTGTATGTGGTTTGCAAAAAGTTACACTATATGTCCAAAACTTGGATTTATGTTTTTTTTTAAACTTCTATATTTTCTTTTATTTTTATTTTTTAGTAAAAACTAAACATGCTTTTATATTTTTTTTTGTTTTTTTATATTTGTTTTTATATTTTTTGTATATTTTTTTGTTTTTTTATATTTATTTTCATCAATTTGATAACTTCTTTTGATATTTTTCAAAAAGTGTAAAGTGTATGAATATCTTTTTTATATATCTTTATATTTTTCATATTTTTTCATATTATTTCGTAGTTTTTTTTGTTTTTGTTTTAGTTTTTTTTTGTTTTTTTACATTTTTTTTTCGTCAATTTGATAATTTCTTTTGATATTTTTCAAAAAAATGTAAAGGTATGAATATATTAGAGTGTATTATATTTTTGGTGTTTGAGTTTTTTTTTTTTTTGTTTTCTATATATATATATATATATATATATATATATATATATATATATTATATATATATATAATTTGGGTAATTTATGGTTTTTCTATTTTTTTATTTTGATTCAATGTGTGATATTTATGATTTATAATTATTAAAATAGGAAATAACTAAAAAACAAAAGTAAAGAAAAAACTAAAAAAATTTAAAAAGTACAAAAAATAGAAAGAATATAAAAGAAACGGAAAAAAAAATATAAAACCATGTTTATTTTTGACTAAAAATAAAAATAAAGAACTTAAAAAAACATAAAACCGAGTTTTTGACATGTGTAATTTTTTGCAAACTATAGGGCCAAATTTGGACTTTAAATATAATTTTAAGACTAATTTTGTAAAAAAAGATAACAGAAACCATTAAATTTGTTAAATGGATTAAAATATGAATTCTACGTAAAAATTATTGCTAGAGACAACAAAAAAAGAAAAGAGTAATACGGTTTTTCCCAATTACGCCTTAAAAAATTATTACTTTTATAATATTTGCCAAGGTATTTATATTGTCGATTAATGCAATCTTCTGTTATGAGAAATACAATTCTCTAATAACTTTGACGTCAATAGGCAAATATCCTATGAACCAACTTACTAATGTGTCCCACAACTATTTGCATGGAACATTTTAGTGTTTCAGAATTCAGTTTATATATATAAGATTTTGGTTATTAACTTATCGACAAACAGTAGATGGTTTACAATCACGATAATTATCCTTCTTCAAAAATTCAAAAAAGGATATAACATTCTTTCAACTAAAATAACAAATACAATAGAAATTTGAAATAAAAATTAAAAACATTCAGTGCAGGAAACCCAAATTATTCGACATCTGAGCTTGCTCAAGCTTGTTCATATGAAAAGCTATCAAGAGTCAAGACTTAAAAAAAAAAGACAAGTTTATGAAGATGGAGGAAGCATTCCTCCAAGGAACGATGAGAACAAGGTCAATGCTCGCTCCGGCTGGTAGCTTGGAACCGTATGGCCTGCACCCCTAACAGTTATCAAAAGCAGTCCTTGGTATGCCTCCAAATACCCTCCAACCTATTAACATTCAGACATGTAAGATATAGTCTTAACAATGTCATTTTATATACAAGTATATTTTTCTTGTTTGCAACAATAAAGTCGATAAGATAGAAATTTCAATGATCACCTCCTTGTTGAGGTACCATGGTCTCCAAGCTGTCACGATAGGAAGATTGAGTGCGTTGACTGAGTACCTAGAAGAAGTAATCGGAACTCTAGCATCTGTATCCCCACTGTAGAATAAACAAATGATCAATTATATATGATAATTATATGTCATCTTCAATTTCAATGTAAAGAATCCATTTCTCATTTCTAAAACAAAGTATATACTGTTGAACGCTTGCCTGAATACCCATATCCGTTGGCCGTTTTCAATCAGATACTTGATTGTCGGCAGGATGGTAACTGGACTGTCATTCCATCCCGGGATAACATCACTGCATGCATCGTAATTTGGAATTTACAGTCAATTATCGAATAATCATTAATCAGGTTCGTATAATTAGTTTTATGAGATTCATCTAAGGTTACCTGCATACATCCCATGATGTCGGTTTCACATGTAATTCCTTTTGCACAGCAGAGTTATTGAGATAGTTTACAAGGGTATATTGCCAGCATGGATCAAAATCGTTAATCTGAAAGATACATGATGAAACAATGATGATTTTCTCCCCTTCATTTTTTTGTCTGAACATTTTGCTCATCACATGGTGATTAAATTTTTTTTTATAGAAGACTTACAGAACCAGTGGTAGAAGCATTCCTTAGATCAGGGTTCAAGCAAATTGGCGCATAGATGTTGTATATATCGACATTTCCCATTTCATCCCATGCTTTATCGGTACTTTTGTCACACATATCAGTCGAAGTTTCGTTCGCAAAGTCACAGTATTTCAAAATCGCATCATGTGTCGCATCTGAATTTACAGCATGTGTCCACCAATAATCGTACATACCTTTCTCACTCGTTTCATCATCAATCCATGCATTTCCTATCTGCAAATTTTACACAAAGATTAATTTCCATATGTGAATAATACACCCTATTTATTTGCAAATCTACAAGATGTTGTATGAACTGAACATACAGCGATGCCTTTGATGTTGACGATGGTTTGGTTTGTTTTCTTGTTGTTAAAAACGATGTTTAAAGCAAGTTGAGGAACATAATGTCCAGCGTAGCTTTCTCCAGTAATGTAAAAATCACGAGTTTTGTATTGAGGGAATCTCTCAAGCCAGTTTACGATAAAAATGTAAGCATCATCTGCAGTGTTCTTGTCACCAGCATGATCATAATCAGACGTCGTGTTGGAATACGAGAAGCCTACTCCAGCTGGAGACTCCAGAAACAGCATATTTGCAACTGCACATATCATTTTTCATGTTAATTCATTACGTTATGTTGAATAAGCAATAGAATAGTAAACTTGGAATATAATCTAACCATTGCTCCATGCATAGTCATTTCTGAAGAGACTTTTTCCATCATTAGTGATTCTGAAAGGTCCTAATTCCGACATGGCTCCAATCATGGACGAACATCCTGGTCCTGTTGAACGACACAGATTGAAATTATTTGAAAAAAAAGTAATTGTAAAGGCTTTTGATGAAATATGCTGATGCAATAAATAAACATGAAATTGGAAAAGTACCTCCATTAAGCCATAAAACCAAGGGTTTATTCGAAGAATCGGTGGGAGACTCGACAAAATAATAGAAAAGAGCTCTGCCAGCAGTTGGATTAACAGTAACATATCCAGAATACTGATTAAAGTCAACGCCTGATGGTTGACCAGGCAATGACCCAATCTTGTCTTGTTCTGCAAGACCATCTTGAGGTGGAATGTAAACTGGAGAGTATTCGTTCGTAGCTTCATCTGTTGCTGACCATGTATTAACAACAGGCGAGTTTCTTGATCTTTTTGCTTTTAGCAACTCGTAAAGCTTGTCTGCTTGAATATCGGCATTGGTTAAACCAAACAGCGCCAAAAGGCAAAATGCTGCTATAAGTTTCATCTTCCTGTTTGGTAATTTCTAGTTTTCTTCAAAGGCTTACTATTTATAGTAACGAGACGTTAAGTCCTAGGGAAAGTTTTATCTTGTTCTAATCGATAGCTTTCAAACAGGCGTTTCAGAAACTGTTAACGTTTTCTTTGAATATGTAACAAGCCGGCTACTTTCGTAATTATCTTTTCGGAGTTGACTTATTTATATTCATATAAAGGATGATTTGGACTCTTTTATGCTTGTCATATGTGGGAAATAGTCATGGTTCTAATCATGTAAAGTTGGGTAGATTTTGTTTTTCTGATGTCTCTTTGTGCAAAATCTAAAAAGAAAAGATATTCCTTTATTAATTGATGAAAATACAGCAGTACTAAGATAAAGAATATCGATTCTTGTTATGAACTTGAGTTCCGAGATGTTCCCTTTCTGGCGATAAAAAAAGATCAGGCATGCTTCAGGAAGGCGACAAAGCAGTCCATGAATATTGTTTGGAGAGTCCTAAAACATAATCTTTAGTGGCCGAACCCCGGCCACCGTTCAGGGCCCACATCTCCAGGGGTCCAAAATTTATGGGCTATGTAGCGTATATATATAAAAAACTTATTATCTAAATAATTTTTAGAACGTAAAGTTGGTTTAGCTTGCTTGTTATTGCTAATTGAACATGTCTATACTGAATAATAAATAATACTTTTTTTTTAAAATTTATTATATTTGTTTTTTAGAGACCTTTTTTTTTCTTTAATTTGGATCGGCCCTGAGTCAGACAATCGGTCATATTTAGATGTGAATGGATCATGGAAGCACATCATTTACATAGTACATGATATCAATATCATTTACATAGTAAATGATGTTCTAAATATTAGAAAGATATTACACCATAATGTAGTAAAACATACGTAAAGGACATAAAAAAAAAAAAAAAAAAAAAAAAAAAAAAAAAAAAAAAAAAGATAACACTAGTGGTGGAACTTTAATACAGAGTGACAACGCCACAAACGGAAAGTCATTGGGAATCAAATGGGGCATGCTTAGCTAGGAATCGCATGTAAGTCTGGTAGTTTTGCTTTAGGAAGGTCGATAAGCCAGGAAGTTCACGCTTTGGAATCTCAGGTACATTTGTAAGATCAAGCAGATTTATTTGTAGAAATTTTATTGCCTCGGTTACAATAATGGTGCTCCTCATCAATGTCAGTAACTCATGCAGTTTCGGCTTTGGACATAAATTTTGATTCATAAGGAATTTGGAGGTGTCTGAGCCCAAACTATGTGATTGAATTAATCCTCCTCTATCTGTTGCCGTCGTCCCCCTCTTCAAACTCCGATTCGTCTTTTTCATAGAGAAATCTCTGATCAAGGATAGAACAAGATCCATTTTGCATCATATCTAAGGGATTCCTTGGTTTGGGTCGAAGAAGTAATGTCACTCGATCCTTATCAAATTGACTACATGTTTGTAACAGATGCTAAGAAGAACAAAAGGCCTTGTACACGTAATGGATCTTGAAGTACTATTTCTGCATCTCCATAACCAAATCCACCCATATTAGGATTACTTGTCAACGGTTGCTAAAATTTGATAGATTCGCCTTCTGAAACAAGAAGTTCTGGCCCCGGAGGGATAATATCAACCACTTGACGTCCATTTGATGCATCCGCTATGGTTATTTCGTATCCCTCCTTTTCTTTTCGTAGGATTTTGCTTACTATACTGGATGAGGTAGCATTATAAACTGTATTGTTACTCTTGCTACCGTCAGGATAACTCCGGCCCCTAGGGAAAGCTCTCGATGTGTTGGAGCCGGTGGCAGAATGAGTATCGGGGTTGTCCGTTGTTCAACCCCCTAATCCTAATCCCCTTCTATTTTAATAAGTCCACCATAGTTGACTAAGCCCTTTAGTTAGACCGTTGGAGTTTTAATCATGTATCTAAAAAAAAAAAATCAAATTTACATAATTAGTCCTTTTACATTGTCTCTGTTACCATAGTTCACCACTTAAACCTTTTGTTAGGGTATAAAGTTCTCCTTAGATGTGATGAAGGCTTAGCTTTTTAGGAATGCGTAATGGGTTGAGCTTTTTCTAGAAATAATAAGTGAGTGACACCCATTTATGTAACAACATGAGAGCTTAGTCTAGTGAGAGAAATATCGCAAGACCCACTTTGTAATAACATTCTAAACTAATGAGAGTTTAAACTGTTTTATTTACTTCTTGTGTTCTTGATATTGTTTGATTCACATAATCATTACATTTCCGCATTCGTCGTCGATCTCGCGATCTTACATGTGGTATCAGAAAGGGTTCTTGAAGTTTTCAAGAAATTGATACATGATGATATTTTTGATTTGGTGAATCATTAATCAAACTTTATGTTGTAAGTATTTTTTTGAGAGAGTTTTTTGTTCTAGAAATCGAATTAATTCTTTGATCCTGATTTATATTCGATTTTCTCTCTCTAGAATTCATGTGATTTTTGTGTTCTCTCTCCAGAATTATGATCAATTTTGTTTTCTCTCTCTAGATGTTCATTCAAATTCTCTTTCTTTCTCTAGAGATTTTTTTTCAAATCCAGTTTCTCTCTCTAGAAATATTCAAGTTCTTGTGGTCTTTTTGTTAATTCATCAAATATGGAATATTTGGATTATGATTATTGGACCGTGATGATTGATGATGTCAAGTACAAAATCAATGAATAACAATATTATGGGTTATTTTTTAGAGGAGGTTGATTACATGGAATACTTTGATTTTATATCGGGAGTTGATATTTCAACCTCTTTGTAAGATAAATTTTTTTTATTGAATAACAATGAATATGATAACTTCGGTAGGAAATAAAAAAGAAGGAAGAGAAAAAAGAATTGTTTATAAAGAAATACATGTTTCTCTGATTGAAGATCCAAATGATCTTCATGCTCTTGAATTTATTGAAGATATTCTTGAATAAGTTCATCAGGTTCATGATGTTCTTGAGGTTCAAGACAAAGGAGATTCAAAGCAATTCACATGAAGTGGTCAAAGTTTTTGTTCGATTAGAGTTCAAAACCGATAATTGTTTGTATTCTTGTGATTCATTTAAAGGAATGATGCCTTATAGAAAGCCTTCAATTCTAGATGTTCAAATGTATCAAACTCCAAAGGATATGAGTCAAAACTGCAAAGTTGAAGTTGTGAAGAATGATGTTTTTGGATTCAAAACTTCTAGATCCAAGAAGAAGAAGAAGAAGAAGAAGAAGAAGAAGAAGAAGAAGAAGAAGAAGAAGAAGAAGAAGAACAAGAACAACAAGAAGAAGAATATCAAAGTCAAGAAAATTTGATTAACCAAGAAAAATTCATCAAACATTGGTTTGATGTCGAAATCTGTGAAGAAAAATTTGGGTTCCTAAGCAAAACTCATCAAATGTTGCTATGGTATCGAATTCCAAAGCCAAAATTGTTGAAGATTCTAAAATTCAACATGATGATAAAGTTATATCTTGGAGAAAAGGCGAAGAAAATTTATGGGAGATATAATGTGCAATTTGGAAATTTCTTAGTTCCAACCTAAGAACCTAAGTGTTCATATAGTTCTCAAGGATATGAAGTTGGTTCTTTAATGTTTGATTGATGTATTAGAAATGGGAAATGGATTTTCAAGGAATTCATACAAATTCTCATATGGATTCCAAAATGATCTTGAACGTTACTGGTTGTTCGAAATCAAACTTCACTGTTCATTGACCCATATGTTATTTGAGTGGAAAATTTGTAGTTCATTACTGTTCATCCAAACTCATCCTTCAAGATCAAAGTTTTTGTCACACATCGAGAGGGAGTTTCGTATGGATTATTCCTCGAACATTTCTCATACACATTTGGCGTTTTATAATCATTTGTTGTTTATAAAAAGGGGGAGAAATTGAAATGAGTATTCGAAAGCTTTTTGGATATTCTTTTCAAAGCGAATTTGAAGATCGATGTTACTTCGAGGGGGAGTTGGTCTTGATCGCTTGGTGCTCGTTTGGATATTGAATCCATGACATCCAATCATAACATCGAAGGGGAGAATGTTAGGGTGCAAAGTTCTCCTTGTATGTGATGTAGGTTTATCCTATTAGGAATGTGTAATGGGTTGAACTTTTCCTATAAATAGGAAGTGAGTGGCTCTCTATTATGTAACAACGTTAAAGATTAGTCTAGTGAGAGAAATATTGTAATACCTACTTTGTAATAACTTTCTAGCAGATATATTCACATTACAAATATATATATATATATATATATATATATATATATATATATATATATACACACACACACACACTTAATTTATATATGTAGGTTATTTTTCATCTCTTATATTTTTATTACTAAACTACTGTAAATATAGTTGGATATCTATAATTATATTATCGTTTTTTTAGATTCATTCCTTATTTTAAGAATGTATGATCCATATGTGAAAACCGGACAAAAAAACATTGTAAGTTTTATTTAGACAATCCTTTTATTTGTCATTTTTTTTCAAATTTAAAAACTTTTTATTATTATTTGAAGATAAAATATATTTTAGTATGTTGTTACTCTGTAAGCCCCACCTTATTAAAAAAATCTTGGCTCCGCCCGTGGTTGGAGCTCCTAATCGATCCCTAAATTCTACTGTTTAGGTCTCGAAATTTTCAATTTTCCAAAACCTCGTTCATTTCGTAAATTTTTGCGATCAAGTTTTAATGACAAAATATGTCATTTCTTCGAATTTAAAATTTCCTTTGTGACGTGTCTGTCCTCCTAAAACCAAACAATGACGGTAGTCGAAGAATGTGTAATACGCTTTTGATTATTAAACACACCCAACAATTTCATGCGTTTTATAACTAGTATAAAACAACCTATGGTCACTGGTTAAAAAATAATGTTTTGTCACGGATTTAGTTAATTGCGTCACTAAAGGTCATTAATCAAATTTCAGTAATGTTTTAGTTACATAATAGCCAAAAATCGTCACCATTGCAAAATATTTTCAC